GCAAAAAAGATTGTTTTAATTTTAATCTTGGCATCGATCTGCATTGTCAGCATCTGCCTGTAAAAAATTAGCATAAGTTCCTGCGCCTAATATTAAACACCAAAATTGCATTCATACAACACATCAAGTATTGGGCGCAAGCCCACCCCTGGAGGTGCGAGCGCTGCAATTGCTGTGACGTGCGTGGTTGGATCACGTGATCTTGCCTGGCTCTGGCGAAGGAAAGCTAGCGGTTCCATGCGTTGATTTTACCGTGACTTCGCAGTGTTTTCATTTTTTAACAGCGGTGTTTTGCTGTGGCTTCATGTGTGCGGACTTCTGCAGACTACACAATCTGCAAAGTTGGAGTAAAAGTTACCGGCGGCGTGCCACAGTGCGCCACGTACATGAGGGCACTGGCACAGCCGCTGGCTGTGCCACTGTCACTTCTCTCTTTCTCTGTTGTTGTGGGTGTTATTTCGAGCTTATGAAGTTAAAATGAGCACCGACCATTAATGCTCACAGAAAAGCAGAACGTTTCAGTTTCAGCACGGGAGCCTCGTTCACAACGAAAAAGGAATGTGCAAAAAATCCGATGTATAGTTTAGAATAGAACTTAGGTGTGTACTTGTGGGAGAAGTTGCCGTCATTACATTCGAGAATACGCGCCGTTGTCTGACTTGTCAGAGAGTCAAGATATAGCCCGGAAGTACAGTTCTTTTTCCTTTATTTTCGTTATTTTACCCTATTTTGGTCTATTTGTAGCCAGTTGCTTCATGTGTTCGGCCAGCCCGTTCTATGAAACCTTCTTTCTTACATCATACATCCCACAAAACACACGAAAAGCTAAAAAAATTCTAGTAAATGTCTAAAGAAGATAGTCCAAAGGTATATAAGAAGTCTTGTTGAGATGGTATTTACACCTAAGCAGCTTGCAAACCTCCTTAAGCTGTGCGAATGCCACATTATTATGGGGCTAGAAAACTGCTTACAAGAATTCTAAAAAACGTCTTCCTAGATTGTTTAAAGAACTTTTGTAAATGTTTACTATGAATATATTGTTAGAAGCCTAGTAAACTTCTTGCCAAAATTCTAAAAAGACTTCTGCTAGATCTTTTGTCACCTTTTTTGGATATTTATTTCATATGCAAACCCGCTTGTTGAGCGTTTCCCGTGGTTAAAGCTTAATTGAATTGGCGCATTTAGCTGTTCACTGTTGACAGTGACAAGTAGGGACAGCAGCATAATATGGCACTTTTGTAATCAGCAAAATTTGTGCCCAATTTGTTGAAAGAATGAATTAGTGACTGCCATCTATCATTACGATAATCTATTTTGCTTGGAGACAAGACAGGCTTTTAAACAGGAACTCATTTTTGTTTCCGGTGTTGCCTGGAATGCATCGTACTGCACATCCAAAATGCAAAATTTCAACACATCTTGTTGCATACTTGTAACCTTCATTATACATAACAGTGACTGCACACTTTATCCCAAAACTTGCACGCTTTATACTAACTATGATTATACAAAGCAGTTGCGGTACTCGCTAGATACTTGGTCCAGAAAGCTGCTCACATACAAAAGGCACAAACTGTTTTCTTCGAGCAGACTTCTATTAGTGCAACAAAAATTAGCAGGCTAGCTTAGCAAACACATTATTGGCCCAGTAGCAAATATATGAAGGTAGAAAGTTTGTTACAGCCAAAAAGTAGCAGTTGAACAGTTAATTTTTTTCTCACCCAGTACACTTAAATTTAAGTATGTTAGAACCATGAGTAGTCAAAATTAATGGGTTTCACCACAAATTCGTGTTTAACAATCAAATTGTGGTTTTGGCAATACCCAGAATTCTAATTCCATCCCAAAATACTCGCACAAAAGACAATATTCCAGAATGCCTTCTGTCAGTTATTAACAATGTTAAACATGGTTAGGTATCGCTTTAACATATCACCCATGGTTAGGTATTGGCAAGTTAGGTATGATTAAGTGTGACAGAAAACCACTTGATTGCATTATGGCATTAAATTCGAGAAGACAATGAACTAAGGTTAAAAAACATGTTAAAGCAGAATATTCAGTCAATATTACAGTGAAAATAATGCTCTTTTTGGTTTTAGTGCCTGTATCCTGTTATTCACAGTGCACTGTACTTGCTTTTTGCAACATTTCTGGATTAGTGAAGTACCGTATAAACCGGACTATAGGTTGAGTGGGAATATAGGTCGACCCCTCAAGTTCAGGTTACAGAAAAAGAAAAAAAAAGGAAAACAACCCAAAACTGCCGAACCACATTTATTTGCGAATTGGGCGCACCCCATCCCGATCGTCGGAGCTCCCCTCTACCACCATCGCAACTGTCGCATTGTCGCACCATCGCATTGTCTTGCGTTTGAAAATAGGTCCGTTCGATTCGCCTGCACCACGTGAACCAGTTCACGAGGTGCTGCACCTTGCCATTCGTTTCAGCGGTGCAGCATTGACGACCGCTGAACCCTGCCATTCGTTTCGAAAGGTGCAGAAGAGGTGCAGCACCGGTTCATTATTTTCCTGCACCTCCTTCGCTGACGGTGCCGGCTTGGTGCAGCCGCGTGTGCAGCTGAGCAGACGACGCAGCACTTAGACGTAGGTGGCTTAGGCGCCGTACCTGCCTCTACAAACGCGCTGTGTATTTTCAAGATGTTTGCGCCTCATAAACTGTCCGCATGTGCGTTTCGCCATAGGTCAGTGTCTGATGAACGGTGTAAATTAACCGAAAAGAAATAAGGCCAACACCTTGTCGGCACATCGTCATTTGTTTCGGGTGTCGTGCTCTGCCTGCACCGCTGAACTCACGCTGCACAATTTCTGAACTTCCCGTGCACAGCCGTGAACCGGTTCCGACCGGTGCAGGTGAATCGAACGGACCTAATGACGAAGGGCGGAAGCTTTCTGCCATCTGCCGTGCATGCCAGCATGACGGTGAAGCGCTAGTGTTCGTTGCCAGTGGACAGCAGCTTCACATCTTTGGCGCCGCGCTGCGTTATCGTGGTCGACGAAGGCATGTCAAACCACACGGGGGTCTCATCGGCGTTGTCAATCTGCCCCATCATGTAGTCGTTCTGCTCCCGAAGCCGGTTTACGAAGCGCTGAAAGTTTATGAGCTTGTCCTCGAACTCCTCCGGCAACTTTTGACAGATGGATGTGCGCCGCCGGAGAGAAAATCCTTTGCGTCGCATAAATAAACGCACCCAAGAGTTCGGTGCACGAAGCTCTTCTCTCGTGAGCCCAGCTTCCCGAGCGAGTTCCACGGCTTTCTTGCGAATCGTATCCACGGTCACTGGCAGCGAGCGCGCGCGAACTTCCCGCACAAAGTCCGCTAGCTTATCCTCCAGCTGCGGATGAACGGCACTTCTTCCACGAAACGACATTTTTCGAGGATTGCACATCTGCAGCTTCCCTTTCTGCGCCCTCCAATAGCGCACGCTTTTTTCTGATACACCAAAGCGGCGCTGAGCAGCCATATTCCCGTTCGCTTCTGTGAACTTAACAACTTTTAGTTTAAACGCAGCTGAGTACTGCCTCCTCGCACCGCTAGACATATTCAGTGAACGAAAAAAAAAAAAAGGCCATTAAAAATGCAGCGCAATGTCAAGCGGAGCGAAAACTCGGAACAGATCAGAAGCAAATCACGAACACACACACACAAAAAAAAAAACAGACTGCGATTGGATTTGGATGCGAATATGGCCGCGTCTGGCTTCACAAGCACATGCAAGCCATATGTTGCCAGACAGCGTTGCACTGTTGGCTAGACACCGCTATATAAGACGAGGGGCGACTTTAGCTTATTATTTTATTGAAAAAATCTCGACTTATATTCCGGTTTATACGGTAAATCTGCGAAGCATGCAGTGCAAGTGTGAGTCTGTTGAATGCAAGGTGCATACTTCTGAAGCTTATAGGGAAGCTTCCTATCATTTTGCAGGAGTTGTCTCAAAATATGACTTCAGTAAAAGCTCGTTAATTCGAACTTGTATGGCACTATAAAAATCTTTGAATTAAGCAGAGTTCGTATTAGAGGCAGAGTTGCAATGAACGGACATCGCACCACACTTTGGACAGAACCCAAAGAAGCCACCTCTAGGCTCATTATCATTAACTAGACTCTACTACACGTTTGTGGCAGGGAATTTCGTAAATTAACCTAAATGGAGCTCTAACAGTGAACGCGATTGATCAGTGTATGATACATGGTAAAGAAGCACTGACACACGCATTCGTTTAAGCAGTGAGCCTTAATGTGAAACCTATTATTCTATTTACACCACAAAACACATTTTTGTACATGCAGGGGTTATGCAAAGAAAATTAATGTAATCAGTCATTTTCTTTTCCTTGCGTTTCTTCTGTTGCGACTCCATGAGCATAATCTGCAGCTTTCCCAAAAGAGCTCCAGCACAGCGTCCGCATTCTTGTGTGCTGAGAAATGTTGCTGTTTCGTTGTTTTACATCTCTAGTAAATTTGGTTTGGTTTGGTGTTGCAATACTTTGTGATTCCTTTCGGCCAACTTCTGCAGAGAGCAATAAAAACCATGAGTTACCAGTTGGAACTAATCATTGTGGATACCAACATGTTTAAATAATTGCAAGATTTTTCCCACAGAAATACACAGGACTGTGCTGGGAGCTAGGCGTCAGTTTGAATTAACTGTTAACTATTAATTTCCAGGGAACTCTAGACAATGAGCTCTTTTGGTTTTAGTAGCCATCATGTGCTCTTTCAAAGTGATTGAAACCTACGTTAAGTTTGATTATAATCTGCATTTGTTTTTTTGTTTTGTTGTGAAAGTAGAGTAATTAAACTTGCAAAAGCAAACAAAAACAAGAAATATGTAATTTTGGAAACAAACTTGCATTTTTCAACTCGCTTCACACCTTAATATTCAAAGTATTTACTGGTAAAGTTTGTACATTTACTGCTTTTCCTTCAGTATCCATTTTATGGGCCAACGCAAAATATCTCTTTCATGCTTCAGACAAAAGTTGGAGGTGATGGCAGTTGACATCGGAATACGCTTGGATGAAGCCCGCAAAATCATAAATTTGGGAGCAGATGACGAGGTAAAACACTTGGCAAGCCTGTTTCTTTAAAAAGTGCCTTTTTTTTTCTTTCTTTGAAAATGTTAGTGTGCCTGGCACTGCTGTTCAGTGTTGAATGTGAAAGGCTATTGCAGAAATAAAAAAAGGGGGAGGGCAAGTGTGGCACTTTTGTATTATTGCAGAGTCACAATCCGACATTTTAAAATGTATTGTCACACTCCCAATGTTGTGTGAATATAGATGGAGTAGCCACATTGCAAATGCAGAATAGCATATGATAAGTACTAGTGTGATGCAGCCTTCAAAAATTCATGCTTGGTAAGCTAATAATTGAAAAGCTTGTCAGCAGTGTCCTTCAGCAGCATGTATTTGCTCCTGTAAAATTTCTGGCTGTTTATGTAGCATCATTTGATATAAAGGCTTTGTATGTGAATGCTTCTTATTTTCATTATTTCTTCACGCCACCACTTGTAAGTTTTTCTAGCATAATGAGCTGAACAGGAGTGCAGACGCCAACACAGTGTGATAAGTTCGTACAGGAGAATTATTGATGTGTTGATGCTGTCCCAGATGCAGTGTCGGTGAGTAGACGTAGTGCCAGTGCTTTGTTCACTCACCAACTTTCTGGCTCTTGCCTTCACACACGCATCTTTTTTCTTTTTGCTCACTGCAACCATTCCACTTTCGGACCGCCATCTGCCACCTCTTGCAGTGTATACATGCCTAAAGGGTTACCGACGCAAAAATGTTGGCCTCTTGTTTTTTTGTTTTTTGTTTTTTTCCTGCTGCAATGTTGACTAACAGGCCCTTAGGCCTGTTAGTCATAAAACTACACATCATTTTCTGCAGTGCATGGCAGATAATTGATTACAAACTTGTTATTACTTACCTGTGTCAGTTTTGGTTTCAAAAACAAGCCACCGGGTGCAACTATTATCACCTAGTGCATGCAACACTCCACCATGCCAGCACACAGAACTGTGATGCACTTCAGTGCAACTCGCATCAAGAAGCTTTTTAAAACAGAAAACAAGATAACAATGCCATCAAACACAAAGCTTTCAACTCGTGCGTTGCAGCCATGTACTTGCAAGCAGCTGCCGAGTAATAGCCTGCTGCACCAAGCACGACCAAAGAAAAATGAAGGCTATGACGTCGTCATAACTTAGTGCAGCGTGGTCACATGAGGAAACTAGGGGGTCTTCAAGTGGACGCATTGAGGGTGTCAGTAGCGCGATACAGTCAATCGCTCACACAAACCTCAAAATACTTTAAAATGCCTTCCAAGCTATATTCACTGTTGATATCTTGTAGATGGTATACACATGTTCATGGGAATCGATCCCGCAGGCTATCTCAGCCGCAAAATTTTGTGTCAGTACCGCTTAAAGGGAGATGCAATTAAAAAAAGAAAGATTTCTTCAATTTGTAGCCCAAAGTAAGGAAACTTTTGCTGTTTACATAAGTTATTATACAGATTTCAAATATGTAATCACTTTTCTAGTGAGGTGTTTAGTATTCATTTTCTACCATCTTGGAGACTTTTTATGACACTAACCTTTCATAATTATGAGTCATCAATGGCTCATATTGCTTCACATTGACTGTAGAATGTAAATTACTATGAAAAAAGTGTGTGCAATATACATTTAAACGAACAAGAAAAATTGTAATGTGAGAAGCGGTAAAGGCTTGGCTCATCTAATTGCTTACATTAAGGCCATAATAAACATATGATGGATATCGTACTTTAAAGGAAATAATTGCGCTCTTTACGTGTTAAGAAATATGTGGCAAAAGATTCATGTTGATCTGGCCATCAGAAGTACTAAAAACAAGGCATCAAAACTCAAGAAGTTGCCTGAAATTGCACCCCATAAAAAAAGGCATTTTCAGCGTAGAAATGAGGGCTCATCTCTGTGGCAATGATGTGTTATTCAAATGATTTCTTCTATTATTAGAGCTTGGGAGTCATGGTTATTCTGAGCATGTAGCTTTGGTGAACTCCTCATGCAAAATGCAGTGGCAAGCAGCCAGGGGAAAATTTTCAGGGGATTCAATCAGCTTTTTTTAGTTTTTTATAGCCACCTAGTTCTCATTAAAAGTGATTTTAGCCTACTTCTAAGTCGCCTGCAACCTTTATTTCATTTTCTTTTGTTATGCGAGTAGAGAAACTAAACTTGTGAAAGCAATTAAGAACAAAAGATGTGTATTTTTGGAAAAACTTTACTTTTTGAATCTCATCTCTTCATAAATGGGTAATTAACCACATTTTCAAGTAATCAGCAAATGGCCTCGATACTGGAGTTTTTTTGCCTCATGAGTCGATTGCTGCAAAAGTTTCCCAAATCTATCAAGAACCAACAGAATTCGTCGAAAAAAAGGGAAATTTAGGAGCTCTTTTTTTTTTCGGTAGATGCAATATTAATGAGAACTGAGAGACAGTAATGCCAAGAAAGTGATGAGGGATGTTATTTGTAGTAATTATGATACAAGATCAAGGAAAGTCAAGTGGACAAAAAGATGTGTCAGAATCTGCAGTCTTTGAATTCAGAGATTGCAACAATACCTTGGTTTGGGCAAGTTGGTTTACACAGCAAGAAAATAAGACGACGCAGACCGCCAGGGAAGAATCAGCGAAAGGAAAGAGCGTCAAGTTGCAATTGACGTTTATTTGAATCGAAAAACATGATATACCCTCGCATCAATCTTGTGCATATGCACACATCATCCAACAGGAGATTACATTGGTCAATATTACAGCATGAAACAAGCAATCAAATTATCGAGCATCCAAATGCGTAGAAAGAAAAGCCACCTCATTATCTTGCAACGCCGAAGACAGGCAGCTGACACACTTATCTCCTGCTTTCCTGATCAAGTACGACTCGACTATTTCACGTTCTGTTTTTGTTGTTCCTTTTTTCAAAAAAGTGGTGTTCTGAAATAAAGGCATGCAATCGCATTGCTTGGAATGTTCTGCTATGTGGCTACCTAATTTTTTCTTGACATCATTATTGTGTTGTCTAGCCCTATCGTTAAAGCGCTGAGAGGTCTGTCCAATGTGGACAAGACCACAAGTCAGGGGGATCTGGTAAACCACCTTTGCGGTACACTCAGTATAAACAGTCCTGTGATTAGTTGTCCTGTGTGTCCTGTAAATGTCCTGTGAACATTGCACGAGCTGATAGTATTCAGCACCTTGCAAACTATCAGCCATCTGCAACCTTCAAAGGAAGAAAACACTCGTGCAACGCTATATACTCATTACTCTGCCTTCGAGATGCCAATAAGCTTTTCTCAGTATGCCATAAAATCCAGAAATACACCATGTTCTGACCTATTATTTTGTGAGACTTTGCCTTTTTTCTCTTAAGTTTCTAAAACGGCACTGAATAGCGACTACACTGTGAGCCTTGTGGCAACTTTGCCATATTAGTAGGCATCAATTAAAAAAAAAAGGAGTGCTTAAACTGAAATGTACATGTTTTGACTGCGTGTGGATAATATTGCCATAACAAGCTCAGCAGCAATGCAGCAGTTCAAGTGGCAGGCACTGTTAGAATAAAATGTATATATGGGAGAAAAAGGTGTTTGCGGGGTTCCTGAGGAATTAAACATTGAATAAAGATGTGCAGTCTATAACCCACCTATATATACTGCATCTGCTGCACCCGGCAGTAGACTAGCGTGTTCAAATTCTTTGCTGCTTGCCCCCATCAGTGACTGCCCATTAACTGGTGACCGGTGCTGTTGAAACCTGTATGATGATGCAACTGCCATTTTGTTAGCAAATCGCATTGTCTATTTTTTAAACCAGGTTTGTTTGTGATCCCGCTACTGTAACTTTCCCCTGAGTCATTTGGATGTAGCAGGTATATTAAGGAACACTGGAATGAAGCCACAGAAAGCATAGAGAAAATTTGTTCAGTTGAAATGCAGAGATGAGTTGAGGAAGTACTAAACACGAAAGTGAAATAAGAACTTGATGAAGGTGATATTAAACCTACATCCCCTGCGCTTACACGAGGGATGCTTTACCAGTCATGTTGACATTGGGAAGTGAGTTTGACATTTCGTGAATAAAAATACTACCATTGTGTCCATTCATTCTATGAACTCCATTACTGTCACTGTTATCTTGGAACATGTAGGAGGCAATCCGAAATAGATTTTTATTTGCGTGACAGTTACATACAACTGCTATGTCTGTGCATAATAGCATGAAATAATGTAGCTATTGCTCTTTTCAGCCATCTGATACTGAGAGCGAGATATCAGTGAGCGTCCAAGACTTGGCTGACGAGCTTGTAGATGCCTTGATGTGCAGCGATTTCCCTGAGGCTCCAGAAGACATGTGACTTTAATCAGTACGCATCATTTTTATGTAAGCTGTTTGACAAGTTCTGTCTACAGTGTAGTTTTTTTGCCTGCACAAAGCAAAAAATATTTGTTTACTTGCAGAAACATCATTATGTGTTGTGCGCTTGCCCAACAAAGTCGGCAGCAATGTACCTGCCAAGGTTAAGCAACCTGCATCGCATTTGCTTTAACAGAATACGGTTAAACCAGATAACTGTTAAAACCACCAAGCACATCGGTTTTTTTTTTTACCTTCTAAATATTCAACTGAAGTGGTAAGCTAAAACCACGCAATGGTTACACTGTTTAGTTCATAAGTGGCAGTCTGACAGCGATCACAGCTCTGTAAACGCAGTTTGTTTCGATGCCCTTCCTGCTTGTGATTTCGCTAGTTTTGTTGTAATGTGAATGAGCCAAAATTTCTCAGCTGTGACCTCCTGTTTATGACCAACATTCGCACTTGATGCTTAACAACTTTCATATCAGTGCCGAATTCTCAACTTTAATGAAAGAAGAATAAAATAAAATGGATCACATTATTTGTCACCTAGTTTGCAAATGATTTAATCTCAGTGCGACTTTGACAAGGCAATGCTTGATTTATAGAGATAGCTTCCTTCAATTGCAGGTGAGTGTATGCTGCATATGCATGTAACCCCACAGAAGGTCTGTCAATTAGGAGGCTGTGGTGGTGCAATGATTGCAATTTATCATTTAGCTGACGTATTTAAAAAAATAAAAAAGTTTCAAGATAAAATGCAGTGGCACAATTGGGCCCCATTGGCATTTCCTTCTCATCAACTAGCCAGGCTTTGCTTCTGGCTAGTGGATAATGAATTATGCCCGAGCACTTTTTAATGGCTGGGCCTATAAACCACTGACTCATGCAGTTCAGATAAAGTGATGCATGTTATTATTTGACACTTCTGACACTTATGAGGCGTTTGCTACGTAAAGCCAGCACAGCATTTTTTTTTTTTTTTCAAAACAATTTGAAGCATTGTTGTGGCTATGTGGTGGGACAGTGGCTTGCCATGCAGAAGGCCTGGCTTTGATTTGTTCATACCCGTAGCTTTGCTTTTCATTATTTGCATTTTCATGATTTTTCGCTCGTCAGCAGTGTTGATTTTTTTCTTGCAACCATTGATGCCAACACCATGATTTCTGTAACACAAGCTTTTTAAAGGGGCCCTGCAACACTTTTTGAGCATGGTGAGAAAACGCTGCCAATCGGTAGTAAAGGCTCTTGACAATATGTGAGCCAAATATTACAGTGCAGCAGGCGGCCTAGAATTCAGAATGAATTATCAGTCATCTAAAAATGCTTTTTCTTCTCTCGACAAATCACGCAATATGCCCAAAAGTCACACGTACTAAGCCCATCTATCAGCCATTCGCTGAATTGAACATGGCGCGCTCGCTCGTTACAGAGATCGGCGCGGGATGCCGCTACTTGTCCACGCTTGCGCGTGCGATCACACTGAAAAAGCTGCACATTCTAAGAAAAAACAAAGAAAAAAGTGCTCAAGGTCACGAGGGGGGCGTGATATTTTTCTGTCGCCCTGCAGTCCCTCCCTGTTTAGCTTTCAGCGCTTTCGTCGGGACAAGAGGAGAGAATGCAATCGCAGCATGCGACAAATCTTTGTAACTCCACTCGCACTAAACGGGTTCTTAAAATTTTTGCGGCGTTGAATAGGTGAGGCAATAAGCTCTTCCAGTGAATTCATTCTATGGTTACTTGAAAAAGTGTTTCAGGGCCCCTTTAATGTTGTCATGTTAAAAAATATAGAATGACATTAATCAGTGCAGAGCTAGTAAGTATCAAGAGCATCAGCTGAAGCTCAGGGAGAGATATTGCTAGCCCATTTGGGGCAGTGAGAAAACCTTGAATGCTTATTTGAAATCACATGCGTTTGCAGTGACCTGATCTTGCTTATTCAGTCATTGGGCAGTGCTCATCTAAGGGCTAGCAGTTAAAGTGAAGAGATTTTCCATCAATAATGTTAGCTTTTGATTGTCAAAATGCGATGATTGACGTTTACCTTGCGTAGGAACAAAGAAGGTGAGCACTTCACTCTTGTGAGAAGCATTTTTTTCCTGCTTTTGTAGTTCTAATCTACAATTAATGAAGAAAAGAAGCATAAAGTTAAGGGATCATTTTTTTGTTAGACATAATGATAATGAAAATGTCTGTTATTTCTCATTAATATTTAATTTACAATGAAGTATGACATAACCCAAGAATGCAGTTCTCCTGTTGAATTTCACCGAAAGAAATATATTGTCTTGTTGTACATGCATAGCTTACGATCTCTCGAGAATATGGGCATATATAGTCTTGATAAAGAATCAGCCTGCAAGCAGGTACAGTTGACTCTTGCCTTAGTGATGTCCTTTTCTTTTTTGTGGATATTAAATTTTCTATCTGCACATGCTTTTCCAGATCACTGAATCCTTCTGCTATTCTCTTGTTTATGACTTGTTTTACTCATTAACACCTTGCTCTAGACTTGCATTGTATTCGTCATTGATAAGAATGATGGTCAGGTACAAGAACTTCACATATTCTTCAATTACCTCAAAAACTAGGTTAGTCAAGTGCAAGTACTTCACACGTGCTACGTGTCCTGAAAAAGAAGGTTGAATAGAATTGGTTTCATGATCGATGCATAGTTCATGAATTGTGGTGTGCTCTGTGACAAATAAACTACAACAATGGTAGAAAAGTGCCCAGAAATCCCAGTTGGGACCATTTGAAACTGGTTTTGTTTGCTTCTGGGGACCAGTTGCATCCCATTGCAAGCACATTGTTCTTTAACTGAAACTAGAAGAAACAAGTTAGCCCCAGTTAAAGCCAGCTTATGATCAGTATAGGTAATAGTTTCACCTGGAATATGTTGAATTCGTATGCCGAAAAATCTGGCATTGTGTCTTTCACAACCAGATTCCACAGTGTGTCGGGTTACATTTCATATAATAGCCCTGTAGTACTACTACCATACATATATTCTCACGCTTTTCTTTAATAATAACTGTTCTCATGTTGACATATTTGATGTTTGCTTAGCCATGTACTGGGCAGCTTCTCATGAAATGCTTTCATAAAGACATGTGATAAGCGTGCCTTTGAAGCATTTGTCAATATTTTTTACCTTTTCATGCTCTGACATGCACCTCAAGCAGTGGCCACCACACTATGTCTATAGTGTAGTAAAATATTCCAGTACCATACTATCATCATCAGCCCGACTACCCCCACTTCAGGGCAAAGGCCTCTCCCATAATCGGCCAATTAACTGGGCTTTGTGCTATCTGCTGCCATGTTATACCTGTGTGGTCAACTGTGGGCGCAGGTTAGCCAGATGAGGACAGAGGACGTTCGAGGAGAGACTTTTATATACACGAAGACGGACAAGGGGATACACACAGCATAAACTCACACATATATACACACGTTCACGGTCCTACGCGGAAGGGAAGTTAATGTTCTTGTTCGTCCACTCACGTTCTACTCTTGGAGCGTGAACGTTGCGCTTGACCTTGAGCTCTCTGGTAGTCAGGAGGCGGTGTGCCTTGTGCTTGCGGAGTTCGTACCGAGGCGGGGCCCGGCCTAGAAGATAACCGCCAGGGGCATTCCAGTACGGTGGGCAACGCCTGGGCTTGCCTGTACACCACTGAGAACAGCGTACTGCCAACTGCCGCGAATAGACCTGGGACAGCGTCTCACTCCGAGGCCAGAACAGCAGCTGGCCGTGACGAACGTTGCTTCAGACCAACCCGGGGGTGAGGTAGGGCGATGCCCAGTCCAGGATGCACCCGAGGACTTCAACGCCGAGACGAGGCCCGGACACGGAGGGTCAGAACGAGCAGCCGGGGCATGGCCCGAACTTGTCCTTGCGCTCTGCTCTCTGGGGTTAGCCGAGCTGTCCCCGTGGCTCGGGAGCTTTTCACGAGGTACGCGCACGAGCACGCACATAGGCGAGCTCATAGTTTCACCGCTATCACCATCATGATGATTCCCGCACACCCTGAAATACTAAATCGGCCCCGCACACCGATTTCTACGTCAAAGCATGACGCACACTCTCCAGGGCAGCGTTTTTTTTTTACCACATCTTCCCCCCAGTTCAAGAACGGTGGGAAAAGAAGGGTAGGCATGTTCATAGAGTAGACGACGTATTACTCGTGTCATGAGTTCTTTGTGTGTCTATACGAGTAATCGGACAGCCTAGTCAGTAGTAAGAGATGTGCGGCTAAGATAGTCGGCACCGACATTATCTGAGCCCTAAATGTATTCTACGTGGAAGTCGTAGTCTATATCAAGAGTAGACTCCAGCGTACCACTCGTGTGTTGATTTGTCGGGCAGAGTTTATGTATTTCAGTGGCTGGTGGTCCGATTGCAAAACAAATGGCCTGCCGTAGAGGTACACATGAAATTTCTGGATACCCCACACGATGGCGAGGCATTCTCTCTCACTTGTAGAATATGCCGCTTCACGAGGTAGCAGCTTTCTACTGGCGTAGGACACTGGATGTAAGAGACCATTGTGTTCTTGTAGGAGGACAGCTCCCAAACTCCGTGATGACGCGTCAGTGCGCAATACGAAAGGCCTTTCAAGGTTGGGTGCTTTCAGTATGGGTTGCCTTGACATCATTGCCTTGAGCTTTTGGAATGCATCCTGATGCTTGTCACGCCAGTCCAGCTTATTAGGACTTCCTTTTTTTCGTGAGCTCGGTAAGTGGATGTGAAAGCTCGGCATAGTTGGGCACAAACTCTCGGTAGTAGCCGATAAGTCCGAGAAAAGCTCGAAGCTCTTTCTTACTTTCCGGCCGTTTCGCTGACACGATTTTGTCTGATGTGTCCTTCTGGGCTTGTAGCAACCCTTGTCCCACAACGTGCCCAAGGAAGCTAGTCGTCGGGGAACCTATCTCGCTTTTCTTCGGCTTGATAGTTAAACGCGCCTTGGCACACGTTGAAATACATGGCGTAATGTGACCATGTGTTCC